TTCTGTCAGTTTTCTTGCCCTTGACCCCTCTGGCTCCTACAATCCTTTCTCCCTCTCTTCTGCAGGAATCCTCCAAGCTCTGCCTAATGTTTGGCTCTAGGTCTGCATCTGTTACCATCAGTTGCTGGATGAATCTTCTCTGATGATAATTGGGCTGGGCACCAATCTGTGTGTATAGCAGAAAATTGTTAGGTGTCATTACAATGACATTTTCCCCCTCTGTTTGGTTCTATCCTAGGTCTCTGAGTCATCCAGCCTGTGGGTTCCAGTCCTCCTGGCAGTGTCAGGGGTGGGTTTATCCTGCTGGCATGAGTTTTAGCCTAGGCAAGTCATTGCTTGACCACTCCCTCAATCTCTAGGCTACCTTTACCCAGCATATCCCATAGGTAGGACAGACTGAAGGTCAAAGGTTATGTGGCTGGGTTGCTTTCCCACTCCCTCCACTTGAAGTCTTGCCTGGCCACAGAAGATGGCCAGGTCAGACTACATATCTGCTATGGCTCAGAGTCTTAGCTGCGGCCAACCTTGTAGATTCCTGGGAGATTCCCTTGTGCCAGGTTTTCACCTGACCATAAAATGCCCCCTTTTCCAGTAGTCTATTTTAGTACTCCCCCTCTTCATCCCCCCATGACCTGATGGCTCACATTTCAGTCCCCACCCACCCTCAGTCTACTGATGAAATCTCTTCTATTTCCCCTTCCCAGGGAGATCTGGGTATCTCTCCATGAACACTTCTTGTTACCTAACATCTCTGGATCTGTAAATTGTAGCATAGTTAGACTTTATTTTACAATTAATATCCACTTATGAGTGATTACATATCATGTTTGTCTTTCTCAGTCTGGGTTCCCTCACTCAGGATGATTTTTTTTTCTAGTTCTGTCCACTTGCCTTCAAATTTACTGGTGTCCATTTTTAATTGGATTATTTGGTATTTTGATGTCTAGTTTCTTGAGTTCTTTATAATATTTTGGAAATCAACTCTCTGTCAGATGTAGGGTTAGTGAAGATCTTTTCCCATTCTGTAGGCTGCCATTTTGTCCTATTGATGGTGTCCTTTGCCTTACAGAAAATTTTCAGTTTCATGAGGTCACATTTATTAATTGTTGATCTTAGTGCCTCTGCTATTGGTGTTCTGTTCAGGAAGTTGTCTCCTATGTGAATGTATTCAAGATTATTTCCCACTTTCTCTTCTATTAGGTTCAGTTGGATTTATGTTGAGGTCTTTGATCCATTTGGTCTTGAATTTTTTTTTCTTAATCCAGTCTTCCATGATGCATACCTATGCTGGTTCTGTATTTTGGCTACTGTGAAGAATGTTGTGATGACTATTCAAGTGCAGACATATCTTTAATTTCTATATTTCATTTGTTTGCACAAATACACAAAAGTGAGAACGTACCATTGCAGTAGAATTTACCAGTAGTTTATTGAGAAGTTTCCATATAATTGGTTATAAAAGTTATACTAGGGGAAATAGATGGCTCAGAATGTAAAAGCAGTTGCCACACAAATTGGCAACCTGAGACCAGTCTCAAAAGCCCATGTAGAGTTAGAGGGAAAGGGCCCACAATGTTGTCCTTTGTCTTACACATGTGCATCAGGGCATGCATAGACCCCCTCATCTCTCTCTCACACAATCCAAAGCCACATGCATATACTACTACTAATATTAACCAATTAAAATAAAAATTAAGAATTATACTAATCACATTATCATCATCATACCAAGGTTCCCTCTTTCCCACCAATGTATGCATCATTTTTAAATAATGAGAGAGAGGTTATATCTTGTAATTTTAATTTGCATTTTACTAATGATTAGTAATTTTAGAATTTTTCCTGAAACACTTGTCCATTTGTCCATGTTATTTTTAGAATGTCTGATCAAGTCTTTTGGCCCATTTTCTTTCATGTGGGTGTTGGGCGAGATGTGCATGAGGGTGTGTGTGTGTGTGCATACGTGTGTGTGTGCGTGCGCGCGTGTGTCAATGCAGAGGTCAAAGGAGGATAAGGTGGACCTACTCTATAATTATCTGACTTATTGCTCAAAAACAGAGTCTGTCCCTTACCTAGAGCTAGGCTAGTGTAGTGGTTTGAATGAGGATTGCTCCCAGGTTTGAGTACTTGTTCCCTAGTTGGTAAAACTTTCTGGGAAGGATTAAAAAGTGTGGCCTTGCAGGAGGAGCTACATCACTGGGGCAGGAGTTGAGGTTTCAAACGACTCACGCCATTCCCAGTGTCTCTCTCTCTTTGCCTTGAGGTTGAGTGTCAAGATGTGAGCTCCCAGCTACTGTTTCAGCTCCATGCTCGGTAAAATGCCTGCCTGGTGCCATGCTCCAGCCACGATGGCCATGAACTCTAACCTTGTGAAACTGTAAGCCCCAAATTAAACTCTTTTATAAGTTTCATTGGTTATGATGTCTCACCACATCGATAGAAAAGTAACCAACAGGTGGCAATTCCCAGAACTCCTTCTGTCTCCTTCCCACAGAGCTGTGGTTATAAGCACATGTGGAGGCTCAACGCTTTTCTTCACACGGGGTGCTCATGATCCAGACCCATGCCTTCGTTCTTGCATAGGAAAGTCTTACATACTGAGCCATCACTCCAGCCCTGCTGTGCTGATTTTTAAAAAAATATTTATTTATTTATTTTATGTTAGTCCATGAGTGTTTTGCCTGGATATATGTCTGAGTACCATGTGTGGTGCCTGGTGCTTCCAGAAGGTCAGAAGAGGACACTGGGTCCCCTCCCTGGATCTGTGGAACTAGAGTTACAAACAGTTGTGAACTGCCACATACCACATAGGTGCTGGGAGGCGAATGCAGGTCCCCTTGGAGTGTTCTAAACTACTGACCCCTCTCTTAAGCCCTACTTTGTCAATTTTCAATTGGCTTTTGTTGTTCTACCTAGTTGTTGTAGCTACTTAGATAATGTGTTAGCCCACCTTTATGTATGATTTGGAAACACTTTCTGTTACTCTCTGTGTTCTCTGTCTCTCTGTCTTTTGCTATTCCAATTGTCCAGAATAACTGTTTACTGCTTTTTTTTTAAATTGCAATCTATATTTTAAGGTCATGCTTAAGAAACCATTGTTCAGACTTATGGAGCATTTAAAAGTAAAATCAGAGCTTGATATTTCATATTTAAGTATTTAATCCAGTTTAGATTGATGTTTAATCTGATACTTTTTGGTTTGTGTTTTATGAAAACCAGATACAGAACCTCATCCCGGGAGGGACCAGAGGACAATGTAAGATGAATTTCCAGACTCACAGCATGTTTACTGTTACTGCTAGAGAACCAATAGAAATGGGCAGTCTTCTTAAAGATATAGTACAGATTTGCACCAACACCTCCATGAAGATGAAGACACTGAACTAATTCTGGTCATCTATCTGAACAAATGCTGCCACCCACCTGAGAAAAAGTCAGCAATGATGTTCTTGAGGAAATGGTGACGACACCTAAATCAGATAGCTTGTAAAATCTGGCTGCATTTCTCAGGCATATTTCCTCCCTCTCTTTCATTCTAGATGTATCATGAAACTACGGTTACCACAGAACACTAGAGGCCAGGTAGAGAACATCACCCATGAGGAAGGAGCATACCACTCTTCAAATAAGTTACTTCAATTTTCTATTTTATACAAACAAATATGTGGGAAATATGTGTCCAAACAGGTGCTGGAGGAATAGGATCATGAAGTAAACATGTTAGATCACTCCAGATGTATTTCCATTGGCCTATGAAGCAGAGATTTTGCATTTAACATAACTTAGGAAGCTGAGAGGGCTTTAACTGTGTGAAACAAGTGGATAAAATATAAGCAATTTGGAAGCATGATTTTTTCCTGGTTTAATGGGAGGGTAGGAGTTAAGAGGCTTAGAGTTATTGGAATATGAACACAGATTTTCAACTCTAAAGGACCCATACTTCTCTACTCACTCTACACACTCATACTAGAAGGATCCAGAGGACAGTCTCTTCACCATGGCTATGAGAAAGAGGTTGTGAAGGTTGCCAAAGTATCCTTAGTGAGCTAAACATTTTCCTTTGTTGTAGATCAGAACTCATGGTGGGAACTGTGGCCACTAATTTTGGAAACCAATATGTGACGAGGTTGACTGGTTCTAGGGTGTGAGAAACCAAGCAGTAACTTGTGACTGCCAAAGTGGAGTTGGGTGTGGCTACTGAAATGGAAAAGAGAATCCGTGTAAAATTCAGAATGGCCTCACCCAGGGACCATCTGTGGAATTGTGTAGTATGGAGTCTTGGGAGTGATATTAAAAAAGAAGATGTCACAATTCTTGTTTTAATTGTTTATGAAAAAATGTGATAGTTGTCAGAGTTAAATTAAAGTCACTAAAGTCACTTCTGTCAACCCTACCAAAATACAAGTGAAATCAGAAGGTTATAGGAAAGTTCTCAGTCACAAACCTGCTTTTAATCACCACAACAGACTTTCTTAGTGACCAGCTGGAACCATCACAGCACTCTTCAGAGGGGCCTTCTGTGAAAGGACAACTGCCAGCAGTCCTGTGTTCAAGGCTGGGTTGTGACCATTCTTGTTACTCATTGCCATCAAGATTTTTTTTCCTGAACTGTTTGATGTAATTTTCCTCATTTTTATTTGTGAAATCTTCCCTCGGCTTCACCCTCTTAAACATGTCCAAGGTTTGCCACACCTTGTCTGTTCCCATTACAATGCCTTCTATTTCCATTGTAATGAGCTGCTATGGTATTTATTTCTCGTCTATAAGTAGTCTCAAAGACTTGTTCTTTGGCTCTTTAATTTCATTTCACATTTCTATGAGAAGATAATTTCTAAGACAAAAACACCAGAAACATGGTTTATATCAGTTAATAGACAAAAGCATGTGTTTATATATATGCAAACTTTGGCTAGTTAATAGACCAAAGTGTGTGTGTGTGTGTGTGTGTGTGTGTGTGTGTGTGTGTGTGTGTGTGTTAAGGAAGAGATTAAAGGCATGGATTTAAACCACTGTGTCTGTATTACTGAGTATGTTTGAGTCCAGTCAATGTCCTCTCCAGTGCTAACATCTTCCTTATTCAGCTTTTCTCTACAGAAAAGATCATCTCATTGATGAATATTACTGTGGACTGCTAAATAAATTCTTTTTGCAATGGGACTTTCATTTTGGCCTGAGGAATAGAGCCACAAGTACCCTTTATTTATCTTCTACCTGCCAAGAGTAGATGATAAAGTGTCAGAGACAGATTAAGAAAACAACAGCATTATGTGTGCCATCAAGAGATGGAAGCGAATTTTTTGGGAAAACTGAATGTATGGCTGCTTTTGTCCACTTGTGGGCATCTGTAGACACAGCAGTGAGATGACCTGAACCACAGAAGGCCCAGACCTAACACAGATGTGTGATAGACAGCTAGGCTTGAAAGCTGTGCATAAATATTTTTTAAATTGCTGATCTGGGAATCCAGCCAATACCCATGAAAGAGAAGCTTTCATGGGACAATTTACAGTTTAAATGAGGTTCTGATACTAAGGCTAACTTATTACTGCCCTAAGCCCTGTAAGAAGAGACCTCGGCCCTGGATCTGCATATGGAACCTCACTTAACTGACTGTTGAGACCATGGAAGAGTATCCTGTTTGGCCCCAGGAGATCTGATAGCTGCGATCACTGTTCAGTTCTGTGTGACCTTCCTGCACTGGATGCTTGTAGTTTGGTGATAAAAATGAAATAAAAATGACACTACTCAAATTGTGACCATCATTACTCAGGGCCAAGCAGGTTTTCTGGATTTTCCAACCTCTTGTTCTAAGCCCTGTACTTCAGCCTTACACTTTTAAAAACCTCTTCTAAACTGAGAAATGGAATTCATTTTGATTTGATATAAATAGGCTTTGAAAACATTTCCTTTATTAAAATACTAATGGTTTATCCCTCACTTGTCTTTTATGTTCATTCTTCAAATCACTGTCAACTCCTGCAACAGTTGGGCTTATCTGGTTTACAGGTTCCCTGTAGTCTGGTATGAGAAGGGCAACTGGAGCGGAGACAGAATCCTCCATGTTGGAGGCATCGGTATTGGTCTGTTCTGCGGCCAAGACTTGTGAGAATACCAGCACCTACAAGGGGAGAGCAGACATGTTTAGACTTTTAGCTGTAACGCCAAAGATTTGAGAACATTTGGTAAATACAAGGCAGAGAAGCTGGTAGCACGTAAGAGAATTCTCTCTTACAGGCAATTGTTATGAAATTAATCTTGAGCCCCCTAAGTAAAGCCACACTTCAATATTCCAGTATGAAGAGGGGGCTCACGAGCCCCTACCCATAACCAAGGAACTATTGACTGTTGATAGCTTCTAGGGGAAGATAATTCAGGTTTTGTATATATATATATTTGTATATATATATTTGTATATGTATGTTAAGATTTCACAGTGCAGCTCACTGTTGCATATATATATATATGCACAATTATCAGGATATATATATATATATATATATATATATATATATATATATCCCCTGATATATGCAACAGTGAGCTGCACTGTGAAATCTTAACATCACAGTTGCTTAAACAAGACCTATACAATAGCAACATCAGTTGCCATTACAACATGGATGGGGGAAATCTCATAAGGCCCCACTCATAGATGAAGAGCTATACACAGTTAATGGCTGCTAAGAGAGGCAGAGTGAGTCTTTTTACAGGGATGAGCCCATGATAGGTTCCCCAGCACTAAGCACATATACATATAAGCAACACCGAATTGACTGAGTAGGTTGTGTTTGGTGATAAAAATCAAATAACTTATCACCTCAAAGAAGAGGTGATAAATTTGAGAGCGAGTGTGGGAATGTAGGAAGAGTTGGAAGAAGAAAGATTGGGGTAGACAAGATGTAAATACAGTACTCATGAAAATCTCAAAAAACTGTAAGAGAAAGATGTAATGATTGTAAATATATATTCATCATTTTGGTGGTTCCAATTTCATAATACAAACACTATTGGGGAGAGAGAGAGAGACAGACAGAGACAGGGAGACAGGGAGGGAGGAAGAGAGAGAGAGAGAGAGAATATCAAGATTCAGTGCTAATGGATGATATCAGTACCCTAGTATCAGTAGAAATATCCCAGACAAAAATGAGCACAGAAACTCAGAAACTTCAGAGTAATTGTAACACAGATGCAGTGATTATAAGGACTATTCCATCTCAAGGCTCTAAAATACACAAAACAAGTTTTAACAAATAAATGTTAAAATACTTTTGTATCTCATCAGATTACAGTAGAATAAAATTAGGAATTATCTACAAGAGAAAGGTATAAACACATGAATATACTGAAAAATATGAAGTTTGCTCTTGAAAAATCAGTATGTTATTGAAGAAATGGGGGAAGGTATTATAAACTTCATAGGAGCAAATGTAACTTAAACAACCAATTATCATAACCCATTAAATATAGCAATGAACATTCTAAGGACATAGTTATCAATGTTTGCAATAAAAAATAAGACCTCAAGTAAGCTAATGACAAACTTTGACATATTAAAAAAATAATATCAACATGAAAGTTAAATTAGTAACAAGGAAATAAACAATAAATGTCAATCAGAGCTGAAAGTAATAAAGTTTAAAACCAAGAAATAGTCAAAGTATCAATGAAACAAGGAATTGTTTCTTTTAAAAGATAAGCAAAATAGACAAATTCATAGCCACAATAACTAGAAAGTGAAGTAAAAGAAAGTGAAAACTGAAGACAATAATATCGGAAGTGAGTGAGGGAATATTACGTCAGATACTTCTGACATCCAGAGGGCCACTACAGAATACCTGGAGAATTATACTGACATTAAGTATATAATATAGAAGAAATGGATAGATTCTTAGACACATCTGACCTATAAACATTGAATTGAGATGCTATAGATCCACAGTGAGCAATGAGACTCAAGGCGTAGTCACTCTCATCCTCAACAAAGAAAACTCAATACTGGTGAAATTTACTATAGCATTCTACCAGGTATTTACAGAACCTCACACTATTCCATAAAACAAGGAAAAGAACATCTCCAAATCAATTATCCAAAGCAGTTATTAGACCAATGCAAAATTAGATAAGGGCACACAATGACAAAAGAAAACTATATATCAATTTCCTTGATGAACGTAGAGTAAAAACTCTGAATAAAATCCTTGCAAACTAAATTCAATAACACATTCAAAAGTCAATACATGATGATCAAGTTTATTTCATTCCATGTGTGCAAGAGTAGTCCAGCACGTGTGAGATAAGCACAGTGCAGCACATAAATATAATGAAGGGAAAAGCTTTTTTTCATGACCATGACAATAGATGCAGAAAATGACTTTGAGCAAACTTAATATCACTGTGCTTAAACCCTGAAGACACCAGGATAAGAAGGATCATGCCTCCACATAACAAGGTTTATATTTGGCAAACTCATAGTCAACATTATACTGGATGGAGAAAAGTTGAGACCATTTCCTTTAATATCAGGAAGGAGATGACTGTATGTACTCTCACCATTCTTATTTAATATATTGCTTCTACTAATTACTTTTCTGTTGCTGTGGTAAAATATCATGGCCAAAAGCAACTCAGAGTAGAAAGGGGTTTATTTTGGTTTATAGTTCTGGGATTGGGGATAAAGTCCGTCACAGTGGGGAAGGCCTGGCTACAGTCAAGAAAAGCATGGTGGCAGGAGCAGGGAACCAGCTAATCACATTTCATCACACAGGAAGCAGGGGGACAGAACAGGAAATGGAGTGAGGCTATAAACCCTCAAGAACCTATGACTTCTTCATCCAGCAAGGCTGCCCTTCCCGAAGCTTCCATAATCTAACCCCAACAGTATTATCTACTTATATTCAGATTCATGAGCCTTACTTGAGGTCTTATTTTTTTATTGCAAGCACTGATAGCTATAAATGTCCTTAGAATGTCCATTGCTATATTCATGGGTTACAATAACTGGTTGTTTAAGTTTCATTTGCATCTATGAAGTTTATAATACCTTCCCCCACTTCTTTTTTTTTTTTTTTTTTTTTTAGCAGTTGAAGAAAGGTGTTTATTGGGGGTGAGGAAACACACACACACACCAGACAAACTGACAAAGAGCCTCTGCAGAGGGGAAACTCAGAAAGCCAAAAAGATCCCTTCCCCCACTACTTAAGCAAAACCACAACATTCTACCCATGGCCTCTTAAGCCTCATGGCCATCTCATGATGAGAATGCATTTAATCCAACTTCAAAAGTCCTCATAATCTTTAACTGTTCCAATATCCAGAGTCTCTTCTGAGACCCAAGGCAATCTCTTAACTGTGACCTCTGTAAAAATTACAAAACAAATCACACACTTTCAACATTCAACAGAATATATACTTCCGTTCCAAAATGGAGAAATATGAGCATAGCAAGGGAAGATTAGACCAAAGCAAAACTGAAAGCTACCATGGTAAGACCAGATTCTGTTGGCCCATGTAGAGCATCTAAAGCCTCAGCTTCAATAGGTCAGATGGAACCAACTCTCCGGCTTTGCTGCCTGCAATCTGCATTTTTCTCTTAGGCTGATTTTTTTTTATTCCATTTCCTGTATGCAGTTCTCCTTGGCTGATATCTCATGGTTCTGGCATCTCAAACATCTTGGGATCTCAACCACAACCCAGGTTTCACTATGACAGCGTCATGCAATGGGGGTTAGGGTTCCTTGGGAATTCCCTGAAGGAACTCTAACCCTGCTGCACATTACCTGTTCTCCTTAGTTCTCTAAAACCGCAAAGGAAAAAAAACCCATGACCCCCTTCATCTTCCATAGTTCTTGTCTTCAAAACAAGTGCCACATGGGCAACACTATCAAGTTCTGCTTCCAGCTTGAGATGGTCCCTAGCCACTTGGACTTCAGTTGCAGAAGCTTCTGAATACAGTTCTCTCATAACATGGAGGCCCCATCTGAGTGTGGTCTTGCCCCTCGGAGGACCTTCTGCTGTGGGACGGTCTGTATGTCAAATTGCTCTGATTGGCCAATAAATAAAACACTGATTGGCCAGTGGCCAGGCAGGAAGTAGGTGGGACAAGGAGAGAGGAGAATTGTGGGAAGCAGAAGGCTGAGGCAGAGAGACACTGCAGCCGCCACCATGACCAGCAGCATGTGAAGACTCCGGTAAGCCACCAGCCACGTGGCAAGGTATAGATTTATGGAAATGGTTAATTTAAGATAAAAGAACAGTTAGCAAGAAGCCTGCCATGGCCATACAGTTTGTAACCAATATAAGTCTCTGTGTTTACTTGGTTGGGTCTGAGCGGCTGTGGGACTGGCGGGTGACAAAGATTTGTCCTGACTGTGGGCAAGGCAAGAAAACTCTAGCTACAACCTTCCCTGTTGTTCTTGTGCAGATCACACAGCTTTTCTTTAACAATTACAAACTCTGACCTACTCTGGTGATGGGATGGCCAAACACCCTAATAGTTGTGCCACAAACCCCATCCAAGGACTGAGGAATCTGGATGCAGACATCCACGGCTAGGCCCCTGGTGGAGCGTTGGGAGTCTAATTAGTGAGAAAGAGGAGGATTTATATGAGTGAGAATTGTTGAAACCAAGGTTGGATAAAGCACACGGACAAATAAACAAACGGATGGAAACACATGAACTATGAACCAAAGGCTGAGGGGCCCCCAACTGGATCAGGCCCTCTGAATAGGTGAGATAGGCTTGATCTGTTTGGGAGGCATCTAGGCAGTAGTACCAGGTCCTGGGCTCGTTGCATGAGTTAGCTGTTTGAAACCTGGGACTTATGCAGGGACACTTGGCTCAATCTGGGAGGAGGGGACTGGACCTGCCTGGACTGAGTCTATCAGGTCGATCCCAGTCCTCGGGGGAGACCTTGATCTGGAGGAGGTGGGAATGGGGGCTGGGGGGAAGGGGAGGGGGGCAGGAAGGGAGAGAATAAGGGAATCTGTGGCTATTATGTAGAACTGAATAGTATTGTAAAATAAATAAAAAATATGAAAAAATACAAACTCTTTTTTAGTACATGATTGAAGTCTTAGGTTTCCTGGTGACCTTTTCTTTCCAAACTGCACATTTTTATT